AGTGTTGTATTTCGTGTTTTTAAGAACGTTGTTGCGAATGCACTTTTGCGCATATTTTTTTACATGTACGTTTGTGCATGTCCATTTGAGCTAGTGTGTTTGTGCATGTTTGTTGATTTGTATTAATGTCCTAGGATTGTAGTTTGTGTCATCATGATCCTTTTTGCGAAGGCACTTTTGCGTGAGTACTTTTGTGCATGCTTTTCTACTTTTACTTATGTGCGTATATTTTGTAGCGAGTGTTTTGGTGCACGTTTCTTGATGTGCATTCGTTTCTTCGTACTATAGCACGTATTTTCATGATCGCTTTTGGAATCCATGTTTGAGTCCGAATTTGGAAATTTGACATTAGACAGGAATTGTAGCCAGCTAAAATAGATTTCTAATGCCGCCAGAAACAGTTGATTTTGAGTCCGGATGAGAAAGTTATGCTCGACTTCGTGGATATTACCGAAGATGTTGAGGGATCCTCTCTTCTAATTTGATTTTATTTTCCTAATTGCAACCTTTTTCTTACTCTTTGATCATTTTTGCTTGATGGACACCTAATTAAAATTTTGTACCTATAAGAAACAAAATCCACCACCTAAAACAAAAATATAAATTAATCCATAAAAAAATCCACGTAAAAGTAAACGTTGAGTGTTATTTCTACACTCCACTGTATCTTTTGTATTTAGTGTCTTTGCTATTGTTTGGTTATTCGTATTAAAGTCCTAGTGTTGTATTTCGTGTTTTTAAGTACGTTGTTGTGAATGCACTTTTGCGCATATTTTTTTACATGTACGATTGTGCATGTCCATTTGAGCGAGTGTGGTTGTGCATGTTTATTGATTTGTATTAATGTCCTAGGATTGTAGTTTGTGTTTTCATGATGCTTTTTGCGAATGCACTTTTGCGAGAGTACTTTTGTGCATGCTTTTGTACTTTTACATATGTGCGTATCTTTTGTAGCGAGTGTTTTTGTGCACTTTTTTTATGTGCATTCGTGTCCTCGAACTGTAGCACGTATTTTCATGATCGCTTTTCGAATCCAATTTTGACCATGTTCGTGTCCGAATTTGGAAATTTGACTTTAGACAGGAATTGGAGCCAGCTAAAATAGCTTTCTAATGCCGCCAGAACCAGTTGATTTGGAGTCCGGATGAGAAAGTTATGCTCGACTTCGTGGACACTAACGAAGATGTTAAGGGATCCTCTCTTCTAATTTTATTTTATTTTCCTAATTGCAACTCTTTTCGTACTCTTTGATCATTTTTTTTTCATGAACACGTAATTATCAATTTGTACCTATAAGATACTAAATCCACCAATTAAAACAAAAATATAAATTAATTCATAAAAAAATCAACGTAAACGTAAACGTTGAGTGTTATTTCTACGCTCCACTTTATCTTTTTTATTTAGTGTTTTTGCTAATGTTTGGTTATGCAAATTTAAGTCCTAGCGTTGTATTTCGTGTTTTTAAGAACGTTGTTGCGAATGCACTTTTGCGCATATTTTTTTACATGTACGTTTGTGCATGTCCATTTGAGCTAGTGTGTTTGTGCATGTTTGTTGATTTGTATTAATGTCCTAGGATTGTAGTTTGTGTCATCATGATCCTTTTTGCGAATGCACTTTTGCGTGAGTACTTTTGTGCATGCTTTTCTACTTTTACTTATGTGCGTATATTTTGTAGCGAGCGTTTTTGTGCACGTTTCTTGATGTGCATTCGTTTCTTCGTACTATAGCACGTATTTTCATGATCGCTTTTGGAATCCATGTTCGAGTCCGAATTTGGAAATTTGACATTAGACAGGAATTGTAGCCAGCTAAAATAGCTTTCTAATGCCGCCAGAACCAGTTGATTTTGAGTCCGGATGAGAAAGTTATGCTCGACTTCGTGGACATTACCGAAGATGTTGAGGGATCCTCTCTTCTAATTTGATTTTATTTTCCTAGTTGCAACCCTTTTCTTACTCTTTGATCATTTTTGCTTGATGGACACCTAATTATAAATTTGTACCTCTAAGATACAAAATCCACCAACTAAAACAAAAATATAAATTAATCCATAAAAAAATCCACGTAAAAGTAAACGTTGAGTGTTATTTCTACACTCCACTGTATCTTTTGTATTTAGTGTCTTTGCTATTGTTTGGTTATTCGTATTAAAGTCCTAGTGTTGTATTTCGTGTTTTTAAGTACGTTGTTGCGAATGTACTTTTGCGCATGTTTTTTTACATGTACGTTTGTGCATGTCCATTTGGGCGAGTGTGTTCTTGCATGTTTGTTGATTTGTATTAATGTCCTAGGATTGTAGTTTGTGTTTTTAGGATCCTTTTTGCGAATGCACTTTTGCGTGAGTACTTTTGTGCATGCTTTTGTACTTTTACTTATGTGCATATCTTTTGTAGCGAGTCTTTTTGTGCACGTTTTTTGATGCGCATTCGTGCCTCGAATTGTAGCACGTATTTTCATGATCGCTTTGGAATCCAATTTTGACCATGTTCGAGTCCGAATTTGGAAATTTGAAATTAGACAGGAATTGTAGCCAGCTTAAATAGCTTTCTAATGCCGCCGGAACCAGTTGATTTGGAGTATGGATGAGAAAGTTATGCTCGACTTCGTGGACACTCTCGAAGATGTTGAGGGATCCTGTCTTCTAATTTGATTTTATTTTCCTAATTGCAACTCTTTTCTTACTCTTTGATCATTTTTGCTTCATGGACGCCTAATTATCTGTTTGTACCTATAAGATACTAAATCCACCAAATAAAACAGAAATATAAATTAATCCATAAAAAAATCCACGTAAACGTAAACGTTGAGTGTTATTTCTACACTCCACTGCATCTTTTCTATCTAGTGTTTTTGCTATTTTTTGGTTATGCGTATTTTCATGATCGCTTTTGGAATCCAATTTTGACCATGTTCGTGTCCGAATTTGGAAATTTCACTTAAGAAAGGAATTGTACCCAGCTAAAATAGCTTTGTAATGCCGCCGGAACCAGTTGATTTGGAGTCCGGATGAGAAAGTTATGCTCGACTTCGTGGACACTACCGAAGATGTTAAGGGATCCTCTCTTCTAATTTCATTTATTTTCCTAATTGCAACTCTTTTCGTACTCTTTGATAATTTATTCTTCATGGACACGTAATTATCAATTTGTACCTATAATATACAAAATCCACCAATTAAAACAAAAATATAAATTAATCCATAAAAAAATACACGTAAATGTAAACGTTGAGTGTTATTTCTACACTCCACTGTATCTTTTGAATTTAGTATTTTTGCTATTGTTTGGTTATGCGTATTAAAGTCCTAGTGTTGTATTTCGTGTTTTTAAGAACGTTGTTGCGAATGTACTTTTGCGCATGTTTTTTTACATGTACGTTTGTGCATGTCCATTTGGGCGAGTGTGTTCTTGCATGTTTGTTGATTTGTATTAATGTCCTAGGATTGTAGTTTGTGTTTTTATGATCCTTTTTGCGAATGCACTTTTGCGTGAGTACTTTTGTGCATGCTTTTGTACTTTTACTTATGTGCATATCTTTTGTAGGGAGTCTTTTTGTGCACGTTTTTTGATGCGCATTCATGTCCTCGAACTGTAGCACGTATTTTCATGATCGCTTTGGAATCCAATTTTGACCATGTTCGAGTCCGAATTTGGAAATTTGAAATTAGACAGGAATTGTAGCCAGCTTAAATAGCTTTCTAATGCCGCCGGAACCAGTTGATTTGGAGTACGGATGAGAAAATTATGCTCGACTTCGTGGACACTACCGAAGATGTTGAGGGATCCTGTCTTCTAATTTGATTTTATTTTCCTAATTGCAACTCTTTTCTTACACTTTGATCATTTTTGCTTCATGGACGCCTAATTATCTGTTTGTACCTATAAGATACTAAATCCACCAAATAAAACAGAAATATAAATTAATCCATAAAAAAATCCACGTAAACGTAAACGTTGAGTGTTATTTCTACACTCCACTGTATCTTTTCTATCTAGTGTTTTTGCTATTTTTTGGTTTTGCGTATTACAGTCCTAGTGTTGTATTTCGTGTTTTTAAGAACGTTGTTGCGAATGGACTTTTGCGCATATTTTTTTACATGTACGTTTGTGCATGTCCATTTGAGCGAGTGTGTTTGTGCATGTTTGTTCATTTGTATTAATGTCAAGATTGTAGTTTGTGTTTTCATGATGCTTTTTGCGAATGTACTTTTGCGTGAGTACTTTTGTGCATGCTTTTGTACTTTTACTTATGTGCGTATCTTTTGTAGCGAGTGTTTTTGTGCACGTTTCTTGATACGCATTCATGTCCTCGAACTGTAGCACGTATTTTCATGATTGCTTTTGTAATCCAATTTTGACCATGTTCGAGTCCGAATTTGGAAATCGGACATTAGACAGGAATTTTTTTTTTTTTTTAAGAGAACGACACCCGATTAGGATGGGGGTTTAGGCTTGACCCCCTACCTATTTATAAAACAAAATTTAAGAAGTACATAATGAGTTTCGATCACATTGCTACTGCTCAACATATGGCTAATAATAGCAATTGACAAACAAAAGACAGTAGCTAACTAAAAAAACGTTAAGAATACGGGCAAAAATGGTGGCCCAAATAATAAAAAAGGACGGGGTGGGAATGATCATAGAAGGTCGGGGAAGACCAAGGTAGACCGTTTGCCTCACCACAACAGCCGAGGCCACTTACACTTTCGCCAAAAATGGGCGAAACAGGTATAACGGCTGCGAAATGTGTTGCACCATTCGGCAAACAGTCTAGTCTTGTTAGACCCAAACAATCCATAATCACCCGAACCCTTCCTAACATGTAAAGTTCACGAAAATTCCTAAATTGCCAATAATATAAAAATGTGGAATGCATGGCACCTATGTGCGAGACTGTCGTCGAAAGGTTGGATATCCAAGCTGGTCCATCCGAATCATCTATTGAATAGGTCGGGGAAGCTCCGCTGTTGTGAAGGTACGAGCCAACTCGGTCTAACACCCCAAGTTAGCTAATGCATCAGCTACTGTATTGCCCTCCCGGTTGATATGTGTAATCCTGTACTCCAAAGTAGAAAGAGAGTTCCAGATCACCGTGAGAGAACTTTGAAGACTCCAATGACCTTGGTCCGTGTGCGAAAGAAGTCGAACAATGACTTCTGCGTCAAGCTCGATCCAAACTCTAGTGAATTGCCTCTGAATAACAAATCGCAGATCGGAGGCAAGAGCAGCAAGCTCGGCTGCAATACAGCTCGGGGCAGAGATCCTCTCGTGAAATGCAAGTATGGCCTCAGCGTCCGAACCTCTGATAATCCTGCCAATAGCTGCAATCTGGGTGGATGCTCTACGGGCTCCGTCTGTGTTTAGCTTCACCCAACCCGGATCCGATGGAAGCCAAACAACTCTATGAGTTGTGAGAGATGGTGTTCTGACTCGGTAATATAGGCCAAGAGAATCAGCCACGTGGGGAATGCCAGTCTAGCTGTCCGCCGAAAGTAAGTTGGTTTGTTGAAGAATCCTGATGTGCTGATGACCCTGTAAATGATGGAAAAAGCGCGAACTGTTATATCCTTGTGCTTGATGTCATTTCTTGCAATCCATACGTACCACAAGATCAAGCAAGGCACAATGGTCGTGATGTGTGTGTTGTGTGTGAGTGTGTGCGAAGTGAAGTGCTGCCAATACAGTAAAATCTAGGGTATGTGCGTAGTGTGTGCAGGTGTATAGCCAAAAAGATAGAAAGAAAAAATCATGCCCTACCCTCTTAGCCGTTGGGCTCTCCACGAAGATATCATCAATCGACTCAATAGAAGGAGAATCGACAGACTGAGATACAAGACTCGACACATGAAAAGATGGATCTGGACAACAATAGCACCTCGAGGCAAGAGAGGTGCCTCGAGACTGAAGTTTGGTATCCACTGGAAGACGCTGAAGAAGGAGACGCCAAAGAAAGATAGAAATTGTAGGAGTAAGACAAGATCCCCAAAATATACGAAGAAGAGGGGTAGGGGTATGCTGCTGTCGTATCAACGCCCAAGCCGAGGTCAAGGAAAATTGGCCATCCGAAGAAGCTCTCCAAATGGGCGAATCACCCGAAGCACCAGAGATTGGGACCGAGCAAATCCTATCAATCCACTCAAAAGGAATATCCTCAGCTAGCTTGTTTCGATCCCACTGACCGTTAACCAAATAATACTCCACACGAACTGACGTTAGCTGACCACTATCAATAATGCCCGAAAGGGGACCATCGCCAAACCAGGGGTCGTGCCATAAATAAACATGACCTGCACCATCAATAATGCCCGAAAGGGGACATTAGACAGGAATTGTAGCTAGCTGAAATAGCTTTCTAATGCCGCCGGAACCAGTTAATTTGGAGTCCTGATGAGAAAGTTATGCTCGACTTCATGGACACTACCGAAGATGTTGAGGGATCCTCTCTTCTAATTTGATTTTATTTTCCTTATTGCAACTCTTTTCTTACTCTTTGATCATTTTTGCTTCCTGGACACCTAATTATCAATTTGTACCTATAAGATACTAAATCCACCAATTAAAACATAAATATAAATTAATCCATAAACAAATCCACGTAAACATATACGTTGAGTGTTATTTCTACACTCCACTATATCTTTTCTATCTAGTGTCTTTGCTGTTGTTTGGTTATGCGTATTAAAGTCCTAGTGTTGTATTTCGTGGTTTTAAGAACGTTGTTGCGAATGCACTTATGCGCATGTTTTTTTACATGTACGTTTGTGCATGTCCATTTGAGCGAGTGTGTTTGTGCATGTTTGTTGATTTGTATTAATGTTTTAGGATTGTAGTTTGTGTTTTCATGATCCTTTTTGCGAATGCACTTTTGCGTGGGTACTTTTGTGCATGCTTTTGTACTTTTACATATGTGCGTATCCTTTGTAGCGAGTATTTTTGTGCACATTTTTTGATGCGCATTCGTGTCCTCGAACTGTAGCACGTATTTTCATGATCGCTTTTGGAATCCAATTTTGACCATGTTCGAGTCCAAATTTGGAAATTGGACATTAGACAGGAATTTTTTTTTTTAAGAGAACGACACCCGATGAGGGTTGGGGGTTAGGCTCCCAACATATGGCTAATAATAGCAATTGAAAAACAAAAGACAATAGCTGACTAACAAAACGTTAAGATTACGGGCAAAACAGGTGGCCCAAATAATAAAAAAGGACGGGGTGGGAATGATCATAGAAGGTCGGGGAAGACCAAGGTAGACCGTTCGCCTCACCACAACAGCCGAGGCCACTTACACTTTCGCCAAAAATGGGGAAACAGGTATAACGGCTGCGAAATGTGTGGCACCATTCGGCAAACAGTCTAGTCTTGTTAGACCCAAACAATCCATAATCACCCCAACCCTTCCTAACATGTAAAGTTCACGAAAATTCCTAAATTGCCAATAATATAAAAACGTGGAATGCATGGCACCTATGTGCGAGACTGTCGTTGAAAGGTTGGATATCCAAGCTGGTCCATCCGAATCATCTGTTGAATAGGTCGGGAAAGCTCCGCTGTTGTGAAGGTACGAGCCAAATCGGTCTAACACCCCAAGTTAGCTAATGCATCAGCTACTGTATTATTGCCCTCCCGGTTGATATGTGTAATCCTGTACTCCAAAGTAGAAATTTCTAACGGTAATGTCCCGTTAGAATATAAATTTATGTGTTACTATTAATATTAAATATATTTTTTTAATTGAAAATATATTTGTAACGGTATTTAAGTGTTAGATACAAATTTAACATAACTTGTATTCTAAATTTATTATCTCTTATATATATTATATATATTATATTAAAATTTTAATTGTAACCGTATATATTTTATATATTATAATATTATAATATATTTAATATATATATATATATAAATAAATAAATAAATAAATAAATAAAAGTAAAATATACCCTAAAATATATTTTATTTCCCTCTATTTTGACCACGTTTCCCCCTTTCTTCCAATTCTACTTCCCTCACCCCATTAACTACTCAATTCTCATTTTTTTTCCAGTTTATCTCTCGCTCATCATCTACGGCTGCCGAGGAGAATTCTTTGTTTCTTCTTCTAAAAACGTAGTCGCTCTACAAGAAAAGGTACGATTGTTTGGGTTTAGATTTTTTCTATCATTTTTGTGATTCTTTAGTGGGGTTATTTTTGCCTATGAATAGGGATTGAATTAATCGATTGTTTTTTTTTCTTCTGATTTGATGATATGGTTGCCCTTGAATTATTTGTGCCTATTATTGTTGTGTACGACTGGGAAAAAAGTGATGTAGAACTATTTGGTTTAAACTACAAAAAATTGTCTGTGTGCTCTAAATTTTACTATTCTTGTAATTGGTTAGACAAATATTCCTAGAGTTTGTCATATATATGCATCTATATATAAGATTGTAATGAGTAGTGTATGGAGAAGAACTAGATCAGATTGAATTTTTTCTTCTTGTAATTGGAAACAATCAGAAGTTCTTTATTCAATTGTTTATGTAGACATCAAAATTACTGTTCGTAACAAAACCTAATATTATGAGTTTTCATGTATAATCCATGTGAGGTTCCTGATTTTTGCCTATTAGCTTAGCATAACTCCAAATAATAAGTATAGAGTAAAACTATAATTTAAGAGGATATTATATTGGTGCTTACTATTGATATTAATAGACAGTACGTGTATATTCGGTGGTAAATATATTGTGGAAAAATGTGTAGCCTTGTTGCTGAGATAGTAAAACAGATGTTTGCTTTGAGAGAAAGGCTTTTGCTGAAATTTTTATTTTAACAAAATGAGTAATATATATACGAAAGAAAATTAATTACCATTTTGAAATATAATTCATTTTTTTCTGGTGTACTAAAAGCTATTTCAACTGCATAATATATCTAAAAGTTAATTATTGGTGGTTTTTATGACTGTAAATCTAAGGCTTGAAGAGTACAATATATTTATATAACTCCTAAATTCCTAATAATAATATAATATGTTAGTCTGTTGTTATACTACACCAATAAAGAAAATTTAAAAACTGATACAATATGTTAGTCTGTTACTCTATATCACAATCTTATAGCTTTTTTACTGCCATTTTTATAGGCTATAACGAGTTGATTAGTTTATATAGTTACTGAATTCAGTAGCCAATATTTTGGCACTTATAATCTAGAGTTTGAAGAGTTGGAATAGTCCAAAAATGTTAGATAATTAAGTCAATTGACATTAGATATGTCCAATATGACGTGTTAGTCGATTTTGCTTGCATAACTATAGGAAATCGTTATATGATTATATTTTCTATATGCGAAAAAGGCTGAATTATTTTTGCATTGTAGTGGCTATTAATTAATTTTTATGACTTTCATATCTTCGTAAATGGCTATTCTCATGTTACTTAATTTATTTTTATTTATGTGTGTGTATATATATAATGTACAAAAGCTATGTCAAACCCCATTAGTAAAGAATGGATGTCTGAAAGTGATAGAGGTGGTCGGATATACACGAAGGGAGTTGAAGAGTTTCTTCAATTTGCTAGTAGAAGTATTGTTGGACAATTGGCAACAATACCTTGTCCATGTGTAAAATGTCGAAATAAGAAGCGACATAGCCCTGTAAATGTTAGAAAACATCTTGTCAGGTCTGGCATTGACAAGTCATATACGTTATGGGCTTTGCACGGCGAAAAACCTTTTACGAATTCAATTAATAATCCAATTGTCGAAGATGTTCGTGAAGATAACATCGTAGAAGATATCTTGGTTGGAGGGAAAGATATGGGAAACCTGGTAGATGCAACTTACGGATTGCATGAAGAATACGATTTCGGGGGTGACAATCAAACAGAAGTTTTAGAAGAACAACATCCTGGTAGTGAGAAGTACGATGAATATAAGAGATTATCATCTGAGAAGTTATACACCTCGTGTGAGGGCCCAGAGACAACACTTTCTGCCATTGTGGAATTGCATAATCTTAAAAAACAATTTGGCTGGTCTGGCAATAGTGTGACAGCACTTTTGGCCATCTTGAAAAGATGGCTTCCTAAGGACAACACCTTGCCAGATAAGTATCCACAAATGAAGAGAATGATGAAAGATTTGGGGATGAAAGCCAATTTTATTCATGCATGTATCAATAATTGTGTCTTATTTTGGAAACATAATGAAGATAATGAGCAATGCCCTCAATGTGGTGAACCGAGATATACTGTAAGAGTAAAAAATGGAGGGAGAGTTAGTAAGGAACCTTTAAAAGTATTAAGACATTTTCCTTTAATTCCAAGGTTAGTTAGATTTTACACTATACCATGGATAGCACATGAGATGACATGGCATGATCGATCAACATCTTCATGGGATTTTATGCGACATCCATCTGACTCTCCACAGTGGGAAAGGTTTAAAAATAAATGGCCAGAATTTTCAAACGAACGACGTAATATTTTCTTAGGAATTGCAACGGATGGGTTTAATCCGCGTGGTATTCAATCATCAAGTTACAGTTGTTGGCCAGTGATCATGGTGCCTTATAATCTTCCACCTTCATTGTGCATGAAACGGGAATTCCAAATATTGTCGTTGTTAATTCCTGGACCAAAAGCACCAGGTCAAGATATTGATGTATTCCTTGAACCCCTTGTAGATGAGTTGAAACTATTGTGGGAGAAAGGAGTTTCGGCTTTTGATATGCATGAAAAACAACGTTTCACGCTAAAAGCAATGTTGCTATGGGGAATTCATGACTTTCCAGCTTATGGGAATTTATCCGGATGTATAAAACATGGTTACAAAGCGTGTCCCATTTGTGGAGATAATACTCCATCTATCCACCTAAATCATAGTAGGAAGATAGTTTATACAAACTATCGCATGTTTCTTAACATGGATCACCCATTCAGGAAGAGCGGATATTTGTCACTAAAGTCAACTGAATATAGATGCCCTCCTTCTCAATTGAACGGGGATGCACTTTTGGAGAAATTAAGTAAGGTAAAGTATGTACCTGGGAAGACAAAAAAAATTCAGCAAAAAAAAGAAAGATGGGCATTGACGAAAGTGGTGAAGCTGAAGCTGTAGAATCATGGTATAAAAGGTCTATCTTCTTTGACTTGCAATATTGGAGCTCGCATCAAGTTACACATGTTCTTGATGTGATGCACACGGAGAAGAATGTGGCGGAGCATTTAATATGCACAATTTAAGATGATAAACTCAAATCTAAGGATACTATAAATGTGCGCCTGGATATGAAGGAAATTGGTATGCACAGTGGTCAGTGGATGCAGGTAAATGACCAAACAGGGAGAATGATAAAACCAAAAGCCCCATTTCTCTTGGATAAAGACGAGAAACATCAATTTTGTCAAATTTTGAAGGATTTGAAACTCCCTTCTAATTTTTCATCTAACTTGAGCAATATTGTATCTGTTAATCCTCCTAGTTTGCATTCAATAAAATCACATGATTATCATGTTATTGTGGAATATTTGTTACCGGTATTGCTTCAACATGCATTTCCGAAATATCGAGACTTGCGTAGAGCTATCCAGCAGATAAGCTTATTTTTCAACCTATTGTGCTCTAAAATAATGATAAGAAAGGATATCCAAAGAGCCAAATACATGGTTGTAGAGGCATTATGTGTGTTGGAAAAATATTTTCCGCCATCTTTTTTCGATATTAGCATCCACCTTATGGTACATCTAGCTGATGAAGCATTAATTTGTGGACCTGTTGGACCACGTTGGATGTTTCCTTTTGAACGGTACGCAATTTTTACTAAGTTCTAATTTTTCTTATATCAACAACATTATTAGTTTTTTATTTATAATGTAATATTATTATTATTATTATAATCGCATGAATAGGCAAATGAAAGACTTCAAAGACATACCTAGTAACAAGAGGTATATTGAAGGATCTATTGCTGAGTCGTACATTGTTGGAGAATCCGTTAGGTACTGTATGGAATATATGCCAAATTCACTTGATGGAAATCACAAACGTACTCGGCAAGCTTTTTTGGAGGAAAATGGAGAATTTTCTGATGAAGGTCCTTTACTCGACGATGTTGTTATAAAGTTAGAACCCCAACAATTTCAACAAATACGTAGATGGATGCTTTTTCGACTTGAGGTTGATGGACTTGATGAATACTATAGGTTTGTTTTCTTGTAATATTTCTTAAGCTATTGAGATCAAGATATATTTAATTTATAAAACCATATGTATATGAAATTCAGAGAATATAAAGATTTTTTAAAGTCCACTTTGCACGGCAAAGGAAAAGGGACCATGAAGACAGAAGTAGAACTTCAAACTTCGTTTATCCCCTGGTTATACGAAAAGGTAGTATTATTAGTAAGACTAACTTAGTTTAGTTTATGGAGTATAAATTATTTTTAACTTATATTATTCACTCAATTACCCAGTTGTTGTTGTCTAAAGAGACGGAGACAAAGGCAATGATGTGGCGATTAGTTCAAGGACCAAGGCACGAGGCTAAGTCATACAAAAAATACCGCGTTAATGGTTTTGTGTTTTCACCTAAGTACCATGACGACATTGTTGTTACTCAGGATAGCGGTGTATGTATGAAGGCATGGACTACATTTAGGGCAAAAAAAGGTGATAAAAGGCTTAAGGATGCTTGGACTATGTGGTATGGAGTTATCAAACAAATTCTTGAATTGGACTGTACACTTTTCAAAGAGGTGGTATTTTATTGTGATTGGGTGAGAGTTGAAGACAAAGTTAATGGTTGTAAGCATTGTCCTGATTCCAATCTTGTGATGGTTAATTTTGATAAGTTCAAGAGTTGTAGTAGTGAGTTAGATGAGCCCGTTATTCTTGCTTCTGAGGCAACTCAAGTATTCAACTCAAAAGACCTAAAAAATCGTAGTTGGTGGGTGGTTTTGCATTCACCAAAGAGATTGACCAGTCGTGTAGACGAGTTAGAGACACCAACGAGCTTTCAATCTACACTTGAAGACCAACCTCACTTGGAAGAATTGTTGAAGCAACACAGATCTGCATAAATTTTAATTTGTGTATTATTTGTTTTATTTTAAAGACGAAAATAGTTCAGTTTTTAAATATAATAGTTTTTGTTTTTGCTATTATTAATTTTACTTGTGTGCTTTGAATAGATATTGGTATGATAACAATAACTTAGGAACTTGAAATAATATATCGTAATAAAGTTCGTAAGCATTTGCTGATATATATGTCGTAGATGTTCATTTTTATTTCTAATCTAAATGGCCTAACAGTTTTTTTTAAATGTCAGATATCCAAAATTATGTCAACCAGTGCAGGTAATTCGGATTGTAATTTTCTTAATCCATCTGCTTCAGATTCATCCATGTTCGAATCGTCAGGAAACAAACCCCCAAAAGGTAAGAAAAAAATCACAATTGAATATGATGGAGGGGTTGTAGGTGATCACTCGAAGCAATGGAGTTCGCGTACAGGTGATTTTGTGAGAGCTCACATTCCAATTAGCTACAAGGATTTTAGAGATGTGCCGAACAACTTCAAAGATGATGTTTGGAATGCATTGATGGTAATTCTAATTTTAAACTTAGTTTAGTACACATGTGCCTTCATCTATATTAAACACCTTAATATTACATAATCATCGATTATGGCAGAAGCATGGTTTAACAATTTTATGATAGTAACATATTTATACAGTTGTTTATGACTTGTTGTTTTTCGAATTTGAATCATGTCTTTATATTATTTTATACTCTATTACTTGTGTAGAAACAATACTACTCATATATTTGTCATATTTGGACCTGGGCTATTGAATATGGATTACTATATTATTTAACTTGTCTCCTAAATATTTGGCTCTTAAATGTTTAAGTGGAAATCATGGAAATATTAATTAAACTGTAGGTGGTTTTCATTAGTTTGGTACGGTGTTTATTGTTTAAGTAATATTATGGTGATATTCCTTTGCAATTATAACACAGAGTTGTATGATATGATTAATTATTTTCATATAAATAATTAATTTCTTAGTGTTCTTAATTCGCATTGTTATTTTTTCGTAGGGTGAAGTTGAACCGGATGTTCCATCACATGTGGCTCGACCACTAGCAGAGAAGACGTGGTCCCAAAAGTTTAGAACGCACAAAAATTCAATGAGAGTTTTTTTAAAGAACAATCCTCCAAAAGCTGAGCCAAAAGGTATTGACCCAATTATTTGGAGAAGGTTTGTAGAAAATGAGAAGGACCCAAAAAAGGAGGATCAAAATGAAAAAAATAAAAAACAATCGAAAAAAGTCGACGTTTTCTCATTGCCTTGGCCGTCGCACTTACGCTCAAAAAGAATACTTGATGGTATGTATCCTTTCATTAATTTCAAATTCTTACTTTCTTTTCTTGAGCTAATTTATTGAATTGTTCAGCTACAAGAAAATCCGTCAATTCAAATTTCTCGAGGTGAAAAATGGTTGGCAGCGCATGAACATGCTGATGGGAGGATTTTGGAAAGTGCGAAAAGTAAATATGTATGTAATGTATTCGTCTAGTACTTTTTTATTTAAATTTTTTGAACTTCAAAACTTGTTATTACTACTTGTTACTTTAGCAATGAATATACTGCAAAAATTTAGCATTAGCCATCTCTATATTTTTATGTTCTAGGAAGTATTTGGCTATTTGTAGTAACACACTTTTCACTTTATATTGTTTTACTATATGGTAAAATATTTATCACTTGATTACAACAGAAGCAAGTAAAGACTGCTACGTAAAAGAAAAAGTCAAAGCTTAAGCGGAGAAGAATGTATGGACAGTTATGAAGACATTGATAATGACGAGTTAACAGAGGTATTTGGAAAAGAGAAGAAGGGAGGAATTTGTGGCATAGGTTCCCACATCAGTAAGAAGCAACTAAATTATCTTGCTGTAGCAAAGTCGAAACTTCAACAAAAAGATAAAGCTATCAAAGATGCTAATGATGGGAAGAATGAGATACTCGCAAGAATTGATGGCCTTGAAGGTATAATTCGTTCTTTATTTTCAAAAACTGACAAAATTGGTTGTCCACCTACACCTTCAAGTGAGCTTGGATCCAATTCAACTAGTCTTCCTATTTATCCAACTGAAAATGTGAACAATGTTACTGGTAATGTTGGTGCATCACTCCCCTCCCCAGCGAATACTAGCACTGAAAATCGTGGAGTGTTCTTATGTGATAAGTTCGGTCGAAAAATTGCAAAGGGGTATATTGTAACAGATAGCACATCTAAGACATGTCACTTCAAAAATGTTAGAAGTGAAGAAAAGAAAGTCTACATAGAAGAAGTAATTGATCCCAGCGCTCGTTTGTGGGATCCTCCTCAAGGGGGTTATGATACTTTGGCTGGCTTTATTCAAGGGGGTTATGTGATTTGGTTAGAAAATTGGTTAGTAGGCATTTGAGTTTCTGTACTCTTTTTTTTTTAGTCTTGCTCAGGATATTTTTGATATATTTGCACACGGTGGAAAACTTATTTACTTTCTTGATGATACATGATTTTTTTTTCTATTTTGAACAAGATTGTACTTGAGTATTTTTTTATACTTTGGGTTAGTTTTTATATGATGGTGGATAATTAATTATGATACATTACTAGCTTGATGGAATGACAATCTTGTATTTTTCTTATTGATTATATATATATATATATATATATATATATATATATATATATATATATATATATATTGTAGCACCCCCCTTCTAGATGGGCGATAAATCGAACCAGTTTATCGGAATATTTATTAAACTAGCGGAAGCAAAGGATCTCTTTGTAATTTTTGAAACATTGGAATGGGGTGAAAATGCAATTATTAAAAATATTCTTCCTTTGGGTGTTGAAGGCTTTGCATTTTCGAAAACTTTGTTGGATTGCTTTAGCCGAATACAAAGCTTGGTTTGGAAATAAGTTTCGAAAGGAGGTTTCTTATTCGAGTGCTACATTCTCACTAAACATTTTTCGGTTCGAGAACAAATCAGAGTTCGAAAAGGTTATTTTGGTGAATAATTCGAAGTTTTCTAACGAAGGCATGAAAATAGC